GCGTTACATTGCAAATTTCAAAGGGGCTGAATTGCAATTTTCTCGATTTTTGATCGGCGTTCATGCAAAATTGCTGGTAGATCCCACAAAAATGAAACTGTAGGCCTACAATTCATTGACTGAACTGTCTTTTTGCTAGAATATCAGACGATTTGAAGCACTACCGGTCAGCTTTTTTCACAACTGCCTAAATTGTGTATATAACTGCAATGATCAATCATGTCTTCATATCTTTCTCCGCAGTTCAAATATATGATTTTTCATATATTCATTTGCGGACATCTAAATTTTTAGCTAAGATTAGAATTTTATTCCGGAGTCAAATCAATAACGGATTAAAATCTTTTTTTAGCAAATTAGTTATTTAGATTATCCCTGACTAAAAAGTAACATTGAAGAAAGGTTATTCTGTCTTTGATTTTCTTGGCGTATTTTCCTCTCAGTTTATTCTGCTTGTCAATCTTCTTCTGTTGTTTCTGCATCCTTTTATCGGTCTCTACCACCTTCCGTTTAATGGAGGACTGAAGCTGCGTCTTAGCAGAGGCTTGAGCTGCGGCAATCCTGCTTCTGTTCCATAACGCTCTGTTCCCTGCTTGCTTCTTCTTCTCCATTTCTTCATTTCGCTTACTTTCGGCTGCTGCCTGCTTAGCTGCAATTTTGGCTGCAGTAGCTTGGGCGGACGTCTCCGCGGGGTGTGGTCGGCTAACTCCAGCCCTACTGCGCGCGCACTCTCGGATGCGCTGCAATACCTTTACTTTCCTCTCCTCGGCAGCGCGCATTTTCTCTTTCATTTCCTCCAAAGTGCGTTCAGGCGCGACCTTTCGCTTTCTAAACCGTCGCGGAACTCTAGTAGGTGGGCAGACCGTCTTCTTGTCTCCAACAGGAATGTCGAAAGCGACCGCGGTTTGCACCTTTCGTGGGAGAGTGGCGTCAGTTGAGCTTAGTGGCTAAATAGCGTGGCCAGTATTGGAACTTGAAGAATTACCGTAAGCTTGGAATGCGAGGATTTCAAACGCAGTATCCACTAGTCGCCGATTACGGTCTGCAGCACGAAGCCTGTTATTCCTATTGCTTCGCACAGGTGGCACACTGACTCTTTCGTTGGCCAATGCGCGCATGGCAGCTTCTATTTCTTCGAGCGAGGAATCATCAGAATCGCTTGAACTGTCATTGCGGAGTGAACTCTTGCCCCGGACCGGTTGTTCTTTGTCTTTCCAGAACTCTCGGTCCTGAAAACACGCCGCGCATTGGTTGGCAAGCTCCATTGTACTCGCGACTCGTCGCGGCTCCGGAAAAATCATCATTGCTGGATCGATCTTGTTGTTTGCAGATTTAAACTTTGACAGTAGCGACCCACACATCTTGCGCAATCCAACTTTGATTATAATGTATAAAAATAACCTCAGAAATATTTGTTCAATTATTGTTGCTTGCAACGCGCACAAACCGTGTCAACAACTTTCCAAAATGAACAAACTTCTCGTTGCCTTGGATTCGTTTATTACGTGGAAAAACGTCAGCATTTAAGTTGACGTACATTCGAATAACACGTATGAGATTTTACAGTGGTTTAAATTTTCCTCTGTAATTGATTTAAAATTGTCAATTTTAAAGGTCAGGTACTCGCGTTTTTCGCGCGCTTTCTCTTGCTTACTACTGGTCACTTCCCAATCACTAAAATATTTGTTAAAATATGAACATGCAGCAACAGAACATGAATACGCAGTCCACAGCGGTCTAATGCACTGCGCGCGCGCAGTTACCACTTTCGTTCTCTTCCGGTAACATTTGAAACTGTTAACGGAACAGTAGACTTTCTAAAAGTCCTTTCCAATATTTCTTCCCGGGCCTGTTGGCCTTTTCTCGCGACTTACGTCGCTCGCGCTCGCGATTTCGTCGCTCAAAAATAAATAAGTCAAGTAGGTCGAAAGCTTTAACGAGGCTGAAGTGGGAGAAATGTCTAACTCACAAAGGCAAACTCACAAAGGCAAGGTGTCATTACACTTATCGAAAAAACAGGTAAAGACAAAACTCGTCTTGAAAATTGGACACCGATTTCTCTCACTAATGTTGATACTAAAATAGCATCCAAAGTAATAGCAACACGAATTACTAAAATTTTACCAGAGATAATCCACAGCAATCAGACTGGATATGTTTCAGGTCGATACATAGGGGAAGCAGCTAGATCAATTCTAGATGTCATGGAATACACTAAAACATTCGATATTCCGAGTATATTATTATTCATAGATTTTGAAAAGGCATTCCGCAGCCTTGAATGGAATTTTATGTTTAAATGCTTAGAAATTTTCGGGTTTGGTCACAGTCTTGTAAGATGGGTGAAAATATTATCCTTTTTGTCTAGCTTATGCATATGTGCATATATGTTTGGTACAGTTGATGTGATGTCTTGCGGGACTTTATCAACTAAATAAATGTAGATGTAGATGTAGATCTCTACCGATCCACTCTCGATAATGAACGCACAAAAGCAATTTTACACTAAGCTGTACAGCAGTTCCAAAACAAACTTAGACACTCCAGATGCAGCACTCTTCTTTGAAAATCCAAATCTATCAAAGCTATCAAGTGAAGCAAGTGAGAAATYCGAAGGAAAAATAACAATTGAAGAATGCCAAAACATTATCAAAACATTCCAACTAGGTAAGACTCCTGGAAATGATGGTCTGCCAATTGAATTTTATAATGTATTTTGGTCATCAATCGGTGAAATGGTGGTCGAAAGCTTTAACGAGGCTTACATGTATGAAGAGGGAGAAATGTCTAACTCACAAAGGTAAGGGGTCATTACACTTATCGAAAAAACAGGTAAAGACAGAACCCATCTTGAAAATTGGTGACTGATTTCTCTCACCAATGTTGACACTAAAATAGCATCCAAAGTAATAGCAACACGAATTACTAAAATTTCACCAGAGATAATCCACAGCAATCAGACTGGATATGTTTCAGGTCGATACATAGGGGAAGCAGCTAGATCAATTCTAGATGTCATGGAATACACTAAAACATTCAATATTCTGGGTATATTATTATTCATAGATTTTGAAAAGGCATTCGACAGCCTTGAATGGAATTTTATGTTTAAATGCTTAAAAATTTTCGGCTTTGGTCACAGTCTTGTAAGATGGATAGAAACATTTTATAGTAATGTATCCAGTTGCATTATTGTCCAATATGCAGACGACCTCACAGCTATTTTATCGATTAAACATCCGCACAAAATCTCTTTAAATTACTTGATCGTTTTGGAAAACTATCAGGTTTAAAGGTTAATTACACTAAAGCAGAGGCAATGTGGATTGGTTCGTATCGTGACAGCCCCGAGAGACCATTATCTTTAAAATAGTAAAAAAAGCGTAAAAAAAGCGCAAAAGCTATTGGGGTACACTACAGTTATAACAGAGAAGTGTCTTTTCAGAAAAAATTTTTACGACAAGATTACCGAAATTTAAAAACAAATACATCAGTCGAGCTGGAGAGGTCTCTCTCTATTTGGTAAAGTATCAATCATTAAAAGTCTTCTTCTCCCTAAATTGGTATAGATATTTTCTATCCGCTCATCTCCCTCGGAATTTATATCACTGATTCAAACGATAATATATAAATTCTTGTGGAAAGGGCCTGGTAAAATAACCAGAAGCGCTACAATTAATTGTTCTGACTATGGTGGGTTAAATCTCACTGATCTAGAGACTTCAATTAAGTCTCTTAGATTAGCATGGATTTCGAAAATTTTTAATCCTGCACCGTCTCCATGGAAAAGCCATCTTGACATTTGCTCAAACCTTATGGAGGTTTTTTCCTTTTTCACTGTAACTATAATATTAATGACTATCATATTAATTCGATTTTTAGTGCAGAGTGCACTATTGGGATGGTTTAGGGGGCTGCTGTTCGGTAAGGCACTAACCCGCTAGCGCACTAACGTTGGAACACAATAAGGTGTAAACTTTATTATTTGTTTAATTAATTAATTTCAATTAATCAATTAGCTTTTCGGGAAGGGGCCCAGGTAGGGTAAGTAAAGGTACCCGTGTGCATTTCGCAAAACGCGCCTTGCTTACGTCGCTATCTTTCATAACCTGACAAAAATATATATATGGTTTTGCAAATCTCATGCTATCCTTCTGGTGCTATTCTCTTAAGAACAAAAGAAATTTGCTCCAAACGCATGCGCAGATTAGTTAGTGTCAAAGTCACTATATCTTAGCATTCTTGTCCCCAGAGGTCGTGCTCCTTTTGGTCAGCTCCAAGAATCGCTACCTCTGGGAAGGTCCAATTTTTTGAGCATGCGCAGAGTAATCGTTTCGTTTTGTCAGTCTTGACTCTGAGCACGCGCAAAATGACGGGAAGTCCGTTAATCGTGGACTTCCAGTGTTGGACCTTCCCAGAGGTTGATCCTAGAGGTCGCGATTCTTGGTGCTGACCAAAAGGAACGCGGCCTCTGGGGACGAGAATGACATGTTACGAACGTTGAGTGCTTTTCCTTGCGGTAGAATCAACATAGCAAGTAAGACGCATGCGTTCTAACTTTGCTAGCGTGATAAACTCCGTTCTCGAGTTCAAATGCACGCTTTTTTATTTTTTGAGTAATACCGCGCTCTCGTTTTGGCCGGGGATAACAGCTATATTTCAGGTAACGTCAGTTCTCCCCTATTTAGTGCAAAGAACGCTTCTGTGACTGCATACCTTCGGAATCTTCCCAACCTCGATTCAAGAAATGTCGTCTGCTGTTTTATAACTATTAGGTGTTTGCCAGGGTGCAGATAAATGACAGAAACAATTTGCTTCTCCTCAGCTTGCTTGTTTCCTCTTCTCTGAAAGAGAGCCAAAAGTTCATATTCAGCCGAAACATTCCCGCGTTAGTTAAATATATAATGTAAAACTAGTAAAATTTGTGACAAAAGAAACTTCATTATTATTGCCGCAGACTCCGCCGCCACCAATTAATTTCATAAGCCGATGAGTTGACTGTGGGATATAACTTCGGTCAAGTAAAGATCTCTACCTTCAATACTTCTCGTTGAAACGCTCCTCAGTTGTGTTACTCGATAGCATTGTGTATTAAGTTTCACGTGGTTTTATTGTTAACACCAACGCTGGCAACAGAATAAGAACGCTCTCTTCCGTGACTCGACGTGATTATTTGAGAATAAGATTAGTTCTTGTTTATCGGTGAAATGAAAATTTCCGTTTTGAATAAAACAAAATCGTTCCTCTTCGACTTTTCAGCAGATATTTCACTTTTATTTTCCATTTAACTCCAGCAGTGAGTAAAAAAGAATACACATCTTTCTTATATTTTCTTGGAAACAAAGGTACCTTAATGGACACATTGGTAAGGAAAACAAAAGTATCAAGTTACAAACGTTGGCGTGAAAAGTACAAATTGTCACATTTGCTGCAATGACTTTAAAACCGTCTTGACAAACGGTAATTGGAAGTTATTTTTGGGCAAAACACATACATAAAACACACACACTGCTAAGATTATGTCTTATCAAGTTTTTGTCCACTCATATTCTGCAAAGGGGAAAAGGCCTAGTTGACTACCAAGGGAGAGAACAGCAGGAGTGAGGACCTGTGTGACTACTATATCAGAGCCGGAAATTACACTCTGTACCATCTGAGATTGTCTCACTAGTTTGTTTAGAAATGCTGCAGTGGTGGTCTGAATTTCGCTCAAATTTTGCGACGGATTCTTAAGCTTTTGACCCTATAATTTGGAATAACTGTAATATAAAGATAGACGGCAAACCGATCTGTTATCAAAATTATATGAATGCTGGGGTAATTTTTAT